ACACACACACACACACACACACACACACACACACACACACAAAGCATGCTGACCACCATGCCACTATTTCAGATACCAAAGGTTGGGTTAAATGCTTTATATGCTAGTGCACATAAACTTTCAACTGCTACGAATGACTGCAACTCAAGAGATGCTCTGTTGTACATCTCATCCAGCAGATGAATATAAGGGAAGGTTCACCAATGGATCAAGATCACCTAAGCTAGGAACTTCAAACCCAGATTAGCTTGGCCTTTTATCATTTGACAGCACTACCTCAATGGTGAACTCTATCTATGTGTAGAATTAAACCCACTACATTCTTGCCTAGTTCTGGGCACCGGAATGTAGTGGTTGGAACTGGACAACTTGGAAGCAGAGCTGGAGAAGGCTGCCCCCATCCTGACAGAACAAAATCAGCTGCTTTCTACCACCAGACTTTCAATTCTGGACCCCTCTTGCAATCAACACTGTCAAATCTATTCTCAGTTGCTCTACAAACACTTGACTCTTTCTAGCATGTTGTCCCCAACACAGCCAAGTGTCCATGAATTTTTGCCCACCCTCACCATCCTAGCTGAACATTTCTTTTTTTCATTTTCACTGCTATCCTGGCTTCCTTCTTGTGTGTCTCAAAACAGTCAATGAGTGACTACTGCTATGGTTCAACCTGGGTTATCCCTAGCTCACACAGCTTTTGGGGCTCTATACTACTTAACAAGAAAAAAGCTAAATGTCTGAATAACTCATACCAGCTCGAACTGCTCCTGGATCCCTATGCTGTCATTTTCCTGAGCGTGGACAACCTGCTGGTCTCCAAAGGCACCTAACACCCATACATTCCCCCCCAAACTCTATGGGCCATATCCTCTCCATTCTATCACTTACTATTTATCTCCAGACCCTGCTCAAATATTCCCTATATTTCTCTCTTACCTCCATCCTCTCAACTGTACAAACACAATACACTCTTTCCTATTAAATATGATACATATTAATGAAAACAGTCCAGAAAGGGATAGAATATATACCTAAATCAGCTCCTTCAATCAAGCCCAGGACCTCATCGGGCTCGATAAGCACCTGCAAAATAGTCCTTAAAACTAGTTTACAAACTAAGGTCAGTAGAAGTTCAGGAGCATTTTTTTGCTTTTAAAAAGGGGATATGAGAAAGACACCAGAGAAAATCCAGATTCTTTTAAGAAATGTGGGAGTAGTCAGAGGGGGCAAGACCTCCTTCATTGGAACTAGTATCTGCTTCTGCTGGCCAAATGGTCTCTTATATCAAAGAAAGGTAAAGGAAAAAAAGTTAAACTTCCTATTAAGCCATATTTTCATTTAGATAATGTCTGTGACCAAAAATCATTCCCATATGAATTATTATGTCCTTTAGTATTAAAACAGCTATGTACCTAATGTTATTCATCCTAAGAGTCTAGACAAAACTACTGTAACTGAAACCCAAAATGCCTAGCATAACTCATGATTTTTAAAGACTGTTTACATACTGCTTAATGCCACCTAGTATATAAAGATGTCTAGCCATGTGTATTTAAAACATAAATTAAATGTCTCCATGGGCCCATGTTTATTTTGAAACTAGTTCAGATAACTACGATCTAGAGTTGTGATTCTTACCATACAGCATGCCTTCTTCACTCTTACTGAATAAGTAAAACATAATGGACAAACTATATGTTTTAACATTGTACTTGCTTTTATAGTTAATGGATCAAAAGATTCTATGACCAAAACACAACTAGCCACATCCTAAGTTAAAACACATGGCAGGAAATGAAGTTCTCCATAAAATAACATTTAGACTCTTCCAATAAAATAGCAACACAGTTGCCAACTTCTACTGGTATACTTTAATACTTCTACCAAGTCAGCAAGCAAAAGGAAATTCCATCTCATTTATTTTAAAAAGCTGGTTTTATATGGGATATTTTGAATGATACTGCTGATGCAGATATCATTCAAGAAATAGATCTTTGGAAACCTAACTGGCTTCCCCTATTTTCACTCCTAGTTATTCACTTTCTGGGCTAAATACATTTAAGCCAAGCCGGTTTCAGAGATAACCTAAAAAAATTATAGTTAGGGCTCAGAATTTCAGAGTTGAAGGAAACTATTATTGAAATAGTATGCCACTTTACACATGAGCACACCAAGACCCAGAGAAATTATTAAATGTCCCGACCTGGCACGGAGGAACCTAATTCTTTTAAGTCGATTTTACTTGAACGAGTTACTGACAAACTGTATGAGAAGATCACAAGTTCAAGATCAGCCTGGGCTATATAGTAAGTTCTAGGCAAGCCTGGGTTATATAGTGAGTCTCTGTCTTAAGAAAATAAAGAAAAAAGAAAAAGGGGGTAGGAGGAAAGGAAGAGAAGGAGGAAGGGGATGAGGGAGGGAAAAGGACAAACTGTTAACAATCAATTTTACTTCAGTGGATGATGTTCATCAACACTATGTCCTAGCATGATAGTTGACATCTTACTCCTACTAAAGGCTACCTGTTCACCTGGGCTATCCTTCTTGGGCTTCACTCCAGCAACTGTCCTCTCCTGAATCACCCCTGCCCTGTCCTCTCATCAGAACCTGAGTGATACTTGCTACACTCAAGCCTGGAATGCTAGCTAGTCAGGAGGTTAAGATCTGAGATCTATGTTCGAATATAGCCCAGACTGCAAAGTCCATGAGACTCTATCTCCAATTAACCACCAAAAAGCCAGACGTTCAAATTGGTCTCAAGTGGCAGAGTGTTATCCTTGAGCAAAATTGCTGAAGGACAGTACCCAGGGTCTGAGTTCAAACCCCAGTATGACATTTGAAAAATAAAAGAATGTGGGTAAGCTATAGGATTTCCCATCTCAGATGCTTACTGACAGCACTTATCAACTGCATGCCAGGCACTTCACATGTATGTATTCATTCATTCATTCATTCATTCACTCTCCACAATGGCCCAAAAGCCAACTGTTATTTATCCTTTTTTTTTACACAAGGTAATTTGAGATCCCAGATCTAGTAAGTACCAAAACAGATCCGAATCCAGAACTTGGGTGTTTTGGTGTTTCTTAAAATGCAACAAACAGGTCTCTCATTCAGCTGTCACCTCATTTCTCTGCTCCTATTCCTATCAAAGCATGTCAAGAGGTAGGTAGGATTCTGACTCCACTTTGTTGTTGTTGTTTTTCCAGGCTAGCCTCAAACTCAAGATCCTTTTACCTCTACCTCCACTTTCTAATCTCTTACTCTCTTTCCAACTCACCCCAGTCAGGCCTCCAGTGTCTAGCAATGTACTCCAGGCAGCCACGGTGGTAAATCCAGACAGGATCCCTTAGCACAATCCAACAGAGCTAGCCACCCTCACCTTCTCCCACTACTTTCTCCTGGGCTCAACCAGAGGCTGACTTTCCTCCAGCCTACTGCCACTCCTCTCTCTCCTGTCTATTTGTCCTCTAATTGTTGACCCAAGCAGGGCTGAGGCCCTCCTCTCCACCCCCTCTCAGTCTTAGGCCTCATTTTCACCAGTGAATATCAAATTCACACACACAGCTGCTGATCTGAATTTCTACCTCAAAATATATTCCTTATTTGTCCCAGGGAAAAATAAATGACAAAGCATAGACTCCCTTCAACCACTTCAAACTATCCCAAAGCTATTTTTCCTAAAATATCTTTCCTTTTATTATAGAAAAATTTAAACATACGGGCTGGGAAGGTGGCTCAGTGGTAGAGCACTTGCCTTGCATGCATGAGGCCCTGGGTTCGATTCCTCAGCACCATATAAGCAAAAAGAAAAAA